TAGAACTGCTTTTGTGTTTAGTTTGCTGTACTTTTCCCGCACGGTTGGCTACATACGGTGTGAAAGAAGTTCAACATGCCATAATGACAGGCTACCTGAAGGAAATATACTTGAGGGAAAGTATAAATATTCATCAATGTAATATTTGAATTATGTGGCATTCATATTATTGGATCTTTCGGTAAAGTCACATAGATAGGTTAAAAGAAAATAACAAAAAATAATAAAAGTTACTTTAATAATGCCTGATCATTTGGCCAGTGCCACCTGTATATGCAGAAATGCCGGTAAACGTCTGTTGTACTGTTATCTTCCTTTAAATTGACATAGCCAGACAATTCTGAAAGATAATTGTTCACCACCTGGATACTACGAAAGGCATTCATGCCTCGAAACTCATTACATTTGAGTGGGACTGATAATATACCCACCTAGACAGGCCAAGCCTCAGTACCCAATCATTACATATTACCCTGCCTACTGTGAACATAATTAGAGCAGTATATAGGTACGTGTAATTTGTTAACAGCCAGATAATAGCTCATTGATACCAGGGGTCCAATTCATGAAGAGAGCATGCTAAGATTATTTCATATCAGGCTTAATATTCCATCGGCGGAAGTCTTGTGGAAACATGATTCACCAATATGCTGGGAGAAATGGTATTTGCCCCATTCCACAATGGCTAGCAGCCGATATTCAGCTTGGGGGAGGGCTAAGGGCATTCCAGCATGTGCATCATGATGCCATGATGAAGCCTCACCTCCTGATTGTTTTTTTATTTTTCCACAGCAGTAACAATGCACAGTCGTGTAGGACTGCAATGAAGTGCTTTCCAGACACATGTTGATCGATTGCACAGATTTGTAAAATTCTCATTGGGATTTTAGGCCTGCCAGAGAATAATTTCCATTGGCATCACTTCTTTTATCTGGGCACTTTCGTTTTCTGCCACATTCAAAACACTTCTTAAAATAATTGTCCAAACATCTCATTGCAAAAGCATAATGAAAGTGTCTCTTGAGGCTCAATGAGGCTATTCTCAATTAAAGCGTGATATAGTCATAATTTTCATCATTAGCACCATCATCAGCATCAATCTGCACTCATTCTGCCACATCCAACCCCCATTCTGGGAAGATTTTAGCTCCTGGAATTTTTGTGGTGGGGCTTCTGACACGTCTTGTGGCCAGAGGGCCACATGAATAGTGTGGAATGGGTCTCTATGCCCCCACTCCTCTATGCCGTGAGTGGCCACCCCCATGCAAGGCAGTGGCACGAATAAAGCGTTGAAATCATGGTGCATGAATTGTTTAAAGTTCCACAATCCTGTTGCTTTGCCCTAGCTTCATTTTCGCCTCACACCCACTGGCCCATTTCACAATGCGGACTGATTCATAACAGCATGCAGTCTCCAATTGGAGGAAAAGGGTCCTCCATGAATTGGGAATTACAAATTGGGGCCAACTTTCCGCAAAAATGGCCATCATTATGCCAAATGTGTTGGAATTACTACCAAAAGCATTTCATGATTTGGTCCCCTGAAGTCTTTATCTCAAAGGACATATGCTTAAATAAGTACACCAAACGACAAACGAATTGTACTGTGTAAACAAGACATATGAAAAATACAATTTAAAGTAATTACGAAACAATATAAAAAATGCAAGTGTAACGTGATAAAAAAAAATGAAGTAGTATAACAATATCTAAACAGCAACGCGTTTACAGTTGTTTTCTTGCCTTCAAAATGATTTGCATTTGTAATTGTGAAATAGTGCTTCTGTACAATCAAATTTGAGGCTATTGGAGCGGTGCTAAATGTAGTGGGGTTGGTGAGAACATATGCAAATTAAAGTTCACAAAATTTACTGTTATATTTTGGAATATGATAGCAATGTAGAAGCATATCCTAAATAAATAAACAGCTTCATTGCCATTTTGCAACTGAGTTAACTGGGGTAATAAGGACGTATTTATAGCCATGCAAACACAACTAAATCAACCAAAGCAATTTCCTAATTACTGACAAAGGAAGGGATTTGGACAGTGATTTGACCATGAGTTAAACTCGGGGCGGAATATAAAACTATTTAAAGTTGTTATGACCGGTGATTGGTATCTGACATAATTGGCATGACGTGGAGATGATGGACTGATCGTGCATGGTTGAAGGATAATGTGATGTTTTAATTTACCTTTTGAAGTTTTTAATGGAAAAAAAATGTAACAGCCCTTTCTCAATCCACTGCTGGATGAGGGCCCCCATTCCATGTCAGTTATGAGTGATGTTTGGCTATAATTCATCACAATGGACAGTTCAGATATCACTCGTCATTCACATTAACTATAATTGGCAATCGAGCTTAGGTCACCAGGTTTATAGCGGAAATACCAATGTATGTATGTATGTTAAAATAGAGATGGAAATCTGTATGTATATTTTTGCTGTGTATGATTACATTCAATTGTGACTTCATGGTTATTTATTGGCATTCATTGGTACGTCTAAAATTATATTGACTGCCTAAGTGTATATTTTTAGTTCGTCTGGGTACTCTTGTTTTCTCCTCACATGTAAACATTCATTAATTTCCCGATAACATCTTAATATATAGCGGATCACAGAGCTTGGGCAATTGTTGGCACCGGCTCATCCCGTGGCTGTCCTCCCGCTTGTCTGTGATTGTTCGTGCTTCTAAGTCGTTCCGTCTCCATGAGAGTGCGCGTATACTGTGTGCGGTACAAGTTGAAAAGTATGAAGACTGTTTTGAAATATCTTAGTTCTGTGCATTATCACCAATGTCACTTTGATTTGGCGCATAACAATTAACCTCCCCCCCTCCACCCCCGCCTCATACTCCTCCATCACCCAGAAACCCCAAATCTAGTCAAAATGCTCCATTAGCAATTGTCTCATATACAATTGGACGCATGTATCATGTGTAAATTGAAAACTAATTTCTTTAGAACTTATTTTTGTGTGTTAGTTTGTTGTCCACTCCGCTTGCCTCCGATTAGCACAGTTGACTACGTACGGCACGAAAGAAATTCAACATACAGACATAAGTAATATTTAATTTTAATAAATTAATTGATGAATAATTGCACACGACATACATCACAAAAATTATAATAGCCAAAATCAATCATATATGTTTATTGGGTTAGATCGCGTAAATATAAATGTGTCGTTAAACCCACCACCACCCGACACAGACAATTAGTAAAGTTTTTCACGTAAACAGAACATGGCAATCCGTTATTAGTACAGCCCACCGGTGTGTTGGAGAGCAAATCCACAACATTTACAATCTGAGTACTGTAGCCAAAGTGTTGAACTCCGGAGAGCACCTTTCAAAAACTGACTGCGAGCTTTAGTGTATTGCTTCTTGTATTTTAAGCACTGGCATTTGACAACGGACGTTGTTGCTAATATCAGCGGCTGACAATCTACAGTTGAAATGTCAACTATCCAAAACACTTCATAGAGAGAACAATTGAGATTATGCAAATAGCCATTGGTATAATTTAACACAGCGATAGTGGGTAGTAGTAATAATATCATGATCTGAATCCTGATTGTTTCGAATTATCAGTATCAACACAAATCCTCTCGCCATATCTGTTACATTTAAGACTCTATATCGGTTAGTTAAAATATCAAGATTTCATTTTACTCTCAATTTACATGGGAAAAAATGATTTATTCTATATCACTAAATCAGCAGCATTTATACAATGTATAGAATAACTACTTTAAAAATAAAGTGCTTAAAATGTGTACGTTTAAAATCCTCTTCCAGCTCGTTGACCACACCCTATGTGTGTGCATGTATATGCACACACGCATATTATATCATATGTGGATATCATTGAGACATATTTCCAAAAGTAATGTAAAAGTATGGGATGAATTTCGATTTAAAGCTTTTGTGACTGCAGGGATTCATCTTATTGGTTCTTTCGGTAAAGTTACGTAGAAGGGAAATAATAAAATAATAAAAATAAACAGACCTGTTCTTCATCTGAGGACGGCTGCTTGCGTTGTGGCCGAAACGTCGTGAGAATTATTTTATTATGCTTTATTTTTATTATTTTATTATTTCCCTTCTACGTGACTTTACCGAAAGAACCAAGAAGAAGTATGAAATGTTCATTTCTCAACGGACTATTTTTATTATATTATTGGATTAATCGTATAAAACACATGAGGAATATTAAGAATTCAGTATTATTTTCATAGCACCCTCGGTAATGAATAAATTCACATCCGAGTGTAATAATGAATACAATTACAATAATTGGTTTCCTCCGAGTTCACGTGCTCATGCCCCAGAAAAATGGAGATTCCAGAATATTTAAGCTGTAAAGCATGTGCTATGGCCTGAAGCTCACATTATCCATAACCATACATGTGCATCAAGCGTATATTTCAAAGTACATTTTGTGTAAAGGTGTGAAAGCAGCTTGCTTTCTGTATTAAATATATGCACGTGTGCTATATATCTACCTCGCAAATGACACCACAGTATTCGTATGCAAGTAGCAGTTATGCAATGCAATGCTGAATGTTGACAATTTCCAAATGTCTCCCATATTTAAAGGCACCATAAATTTAATGAATGTTCCAGCCATAAATCAGTGGATATGCTGGCTACCTTCTCTTAACTGAAGATGGGCCACTGCACGCAACATTAACCTACCACATTTATATTTCCGTTCGAAGGCAGCTTTAATGACAGAGGTTGTGAGATTTTTTTTCCCCTCTCAAGTCAGTACCTGTTATACCAGTTTAACTTGGAGTGATTTTTTTGCCATGTAAGCTCAGAACATAAACGGGCAGCTCATGAAAGCAGAAACTGCTCCGTTGCACCACCATCAGCTTCTTACCGCTCACATTTTACAGTTACTTCGGCACGCGTGGACGTTTCCCGTTACATTAAACATTAAGGTCCGTGAAACGACTTTGCCATCTGTTGCTGCCTCTGCTGACGCAGGTTTCGACCTCCTGGAGAGGCTGGCTCTCCTGGAAAATGTGGCGCAACCGACCGAGTCTGCGCAAGACGAGAAAGCTCGACTCCGCCTAAGGGGGAACCCCATCTCCCAGCCCACTGAGTAAGTGCCGCATCTTCTGGCACGTGACACGTCCTCGCGGGCAGTGTTGTGAGCAACCTGTGGAACGCTTGTCACTCAAATACGCATTTGCAGCCACAACAAACGTGATCGTCTGAGTCAACGATGTGAGGGAGAACCCCGGCGTTGATATTTACGCAGGCTCTTTTTGAAGGCATCAAAGAGTTGATGCCGTAGTTTATCCTGTAAAGACGTACCGATAGTCGCCAGCAGTCCTCGTTTTGCCAGGATTTTTTTTTATTGTTGAGGTCGCTATTCCGAGAAATGTGTATGTCTTCCCGGGAACTTAAGAGTCTCCAGTTTTTTTCAGTTGCAGAATAATGCACCAGTCCAGATATATGCAGTTTTTCCCTCTGATGGTACTGAGATATTCTTCTTCCCATTATATGTCCCATTTTTTTTTGTAACTCATCTGCAGCAACTCTCGCTGTAGCAGAAATTAACAATTAAGTTGTATTCTTTTTTTACAGAAGACTTCAGTGGTCAATACAATTACCGTCAATTATTTGCAAAGTCAGCAGTGGTTGCCCCCACTATGAACAGACTGCTCCTCACCCCCCGCTATGAGAACGTGTGAGTTCCAGTTCAACCACTGGCTCAGCCACCGACTGATCCGTAGTAAGGACGTATGTATGTAGAACCTTTAGATTTAAAGCTTTCGTAACTGCAGGGATTCATCTTCTTGGTTCTTTCGGTAAAGTCACGTAGAAGGGAAGTAATAAAATAATAAAGTAATAAAACATAATAAAATAATTCTCACGACGTTTCGGCCACAACGCAAGCAGCCGTCTTCAGGTAAAGAAGACGGCTGTTTGCGTTGTGGCCGAAACGTCGTGAGAATTATTTTATTATGTTTAATTATTTTATTACTTCCCTTCTACGTGACTATGTAGAACCTTTTTTGCACCGTACTTAGCCAACCGTGATAATCGGAGGTGCGTGAGCAGTCAGTGTGCAGCGACCCACTGGCACCCTGGCTGCTCGTTTTCCGCACAAGTGAAACGGAGTGACTTGATTACGCTAACATACTAGTATGCACCTGATGAGTTAATGAGTTAATGATGACGTCACCCTGCTGCTGCTCTATATAAGAACGGGAGACACAGGAGAACCTCACCATTCTGGCGAATTGCCCGATGATGCTGGTTGCAATTACCAGCGAAACGTCGTACTCAAATTGTAAATGTTGTGGCTTCAACACACCGGTGGGCTAAAGCAGTGAACTATTTGTCTTTGTCAACGTGACACTTTTTTTACTGATTGGCCGTGTCGGGTGGTGGAGGGTTACGACACATTTATAAATAACGCGATCTAAACCCAAAAACGTTGATTATGAATAATATTGGTCGCGAAAGCCTACGTGTTAACCTGCTAGTATGCACAGCTGCACACATCAGCAGCGACATCTTCACTCCTTCCAATTTACAAATCGCCCCTGTTTGCTCGATGGTGAAAAAAAAAGGATGAAGGTGCTTATGTAAGCAGCTGTGCAAGCCTCAACGTGGCAATGTAGTGAGGACGTAACCGTGTTAGCACCTCCTGTTGAAATTAGGTCAACACCAACATCTTCCTGGAGCCCATTAGCTTGCTGTGGTCTGGCTTGCCTTTAACAATTATAGATTAACACTCAAGTTTCCTTCCTTAGACAGTTTGCATGTGGGCCTTTTTGCAAGCCTGGTCATGTTTTCAAAGCACTTTTGTCCTGGGTGTCAAATATTGCCTAATTGCTTCGTTCCTGGCATGATGCAACAGTTTTAATAATTCGTATATGTTGAATGTGTTACACTTGTTTTATATATATAACGTGGGATGGTACAAAAAAAATTGCTGAATAGATTCATTGAGTCCGTTAATTACGTCTCTCAATCCTTTCAATCCTTTGCTGGATAAAGGCTGTACCTCTCTGTGCCTTCATGGTGGTCATTTTTACCATACTTCACCACACTGGTCAGCTTGGGTTTGCTAAAGGGAGGAGGCAGAGGAACAAACGAAATGTAACTTGCCACTGATGTTACCGTAGGCGCATTCAGGAATCGAACTCAGGCTTGCCCGGTTCATAGCGCAGTGTGCTAAGCACTGTACCACTCTTACATTCTCAAATGTATAAATTATGTATGCATAGCCCGATACATAGAGTAAACATACGTACAGTATTACATTACAGTGTACTGCGTAATCATATCGGTCAATTTGTATTCGCATCGTTCTTATAGTGCAAAGGCTATCACGTAATGTGCTGTGTTTCACAGACATAGTCTGCAATAATTTCAAATAAGGAGACAATGTTGCTATGTGGAATCTAAATTTGCTTAACTTGAGGCAAATTTTTTTGCCATTTGGCAAAATTCGGATCATAACCCCGGCACACCCTGGCGAATGTTTTTCAACTGACGCCAGGGGCTCTTTCACGAGCACTGTGAAGCAGACGGCACGTCGTATTTTTAAATCCTTTATATTAAGTTCGCTTGCTTGCGTGCTTGCGTGCTTGCGTGCTTGCTTAGGACCATGCAAATCTTTCGGTCGTTTTTTAACCCACTTCCCGTGATCCAATCGAGCTGACATTTTCCACACATACTCGTTGTGCCAGACAATTATTGTTCGTGAAAAAAAATTCCCAAAATTTTACACTTTTAAGGCAAAATTTTTTTATTTTACATATATTCAAATAGAACTCATTCATGGCTTTGGCTGAACGTCAGAGTGTAAGAGCCCAGAGCGTAACCCCTCCACAGGCCGTGGTGGAGTAGCGCAGTTGGTAGTGCCCTAGCTTCGCATGCCAAAGGTCGCGGGATCGATCCCCGCGTCCTCCACAGGCGAATATATTTTTAAATCCTTTATATTAAGTTCGCTTGCTTGCTTAGGACCGTGCAAATCTTTCGCTCGTTTTTTAACCCACATTCCCGTGATCCAATCGAGCTGACATTTTTCACACAGACTCGTTGTGTGTGACAATTAATTTTCGTGAAAAAAAATCCAAAATTTTACACTGTTTAGGGAAAACAAATGAAATATTTAATTACCAATTGCTTAATGGTGGCAGACAATCATCTGACCCATAGGTGGCAGCCATCTCAAGCCAGAGGACGAGAGGACTCTAGCCGCCACGCATATAAAGGATTTATAGTGAAAAACTTTGTTTTTACGGGTTTACTTGTTATTCACAGACATAGTCTGCAATAATTTCAAATAAGGAGACAATGTTGCTATGTGGAATCCAAATTTGCCTAACTTGAGGCAATATTTTTTGCCATTTGGCAAAATTCGGATCATAACCCTGGCACACCCTGGCGAATGTTTTTCAACTGACGCCAGGGGCTCTTTCACGAGCACTGTGAAGCAGACGGCACGTCGTATTTTTACAGTTTATTTCCACCCACGGTATTAACCACGGCGGCTGCTGAATTCGAACCACAGAGCTCTGCAACGAGCAGCGAACGCACCATCGCTGCCACATCACAGCCCCATGGGTAGTGGTAAACGGATATATATTGCACAGTTACTGTTCAAATAGCTCATGTTGTAGAGAATTGGGTTGGAAGTCAATTGTGCTTCTGGGTATGGATACACAGCTTCGTGGCATTGAAATGTGGAGTTTCAACCGAGGAGTGATGACCACCAGTGGAGTTGAACGTTGCCCATTACGTACTCATTAGAGCGCGTTGACGCTTTTACTTTGATATTGCGAAAAGTGCAATGTCTTGTTAAGGAAGTCAATATCATTCCAACAACCCTGATTGTACTGCCAGGGTTGTATAAGGGCAGCGCAGATGTATGTGTGCATACTAAGCAGTGTGTTTGTTCAATACTTCTGTTTTATGTTGTTACCCTCTCTTAGATATGTCGCATTAATGTGCACACTAACACAATATTGGTTCAATTTATTGACTGCGTAAGTAGTGTTAAATGCTCCGTATAAAAGTAAATTAATAATAAAATAAAATGATGATGACTCATACAGAATATCATTCATTATTGTAGCATTCTGTTCGAAGAAAACATTTGTCAATGGAACAAATGAATACATGCATTGAAGACCATGAACGTCCATATTGAATATAAATGCTTGTGAGTGTGTATATACATTATAGTAAGCATGCCATGAAAGGCCAGCTCTGAATTAAGAAGCCCTGCTAAATGTTCTAGAAATAATGGCAGGCGCATAAATGACCACAATCCTTAGCCCCATTTTATTCAGACGGCAGCTATTAGGCTGTAGGTTGTTTTTTTCCGTTCCAATGTATTTACAGCCAAGGGCGTAAAAAGGTTTCGCTCTGGCTCAGTGAGCACTAACCACTTTTTTTTTTGCGAAATTGCCAAACATTTTGTCTGAAATTTCGGTCTACCAGCTCAGCGAAAAAAAAACATTTCAGCCCTTCCGTTTACAACTGGCCAGCTCGGGTTCAGTCGACTTAAAACATATTTTTGTAAAAACATAAAATGAGTTGAAATTCATAAAATATTAATATGCTGACTTTGGTGATGCTCGATTTTATTGGAGCACAAGTGTTTTTTTTTAATTATAATGCAATGCACACTTTGAGTAAAACGTTGTTTTTTAGATGTTGCCATTGGCAATCCAGAGGTCGCCGGTACAATCACCCGGCGCGGCGGTTGAAACAATGGGGAAGTTCATTCAATCTCCTCGCCTCTGTCCACCCAGCAGTGTAAACCACAGTTAGGCAATCGCCAGGTCACGTGTGGTGCAGTCAATTGTGGGTACTTAAATGTTTTCTTCCAAGATGTACTACCCACCGTGTATGCCCTCCAGAGAGTCTCGGCTACCTTGCCACAAGCAGTGGTGTGAAAAGATACATTTCACGGCCGCATTTTTTTTTACTTTTACATGTAAAATTGCATTGAGTATAATGTATACATTCAATTGAACTAATAGAGAAGAGACGAGTAATAAATAATGGTGTTCCTTTACTCCTGTAACATGCTCAGGTAGATCATTTCCCAATGTCCCAGATTAATGTATATACTAACATTTGTTCTTCAACATATAAATAAGCGCATGCAATCGTATAGCGTATTAACAGTGCTAGCCAAGTCCAGCCTGAAAATTGTCTGTTACAAACACTGAACACTGCCTATGGTTTATTATATAACATCTTATACAAATGTCCTCTGTTACGTCTGCTCTTGGAGAAAGCCTAGGCCTGAAACATTAGCCCATTATGAAGGTTAACCTCATAAAGCAACATTTTGTAATGACGAGGGGGGTTGTTTTGTTGACCATACTTCACCTTGCTAGTCACTGCAGGTTGGCGAAGTGACGGGGTGAAGGGGGGTGGTTAGCCATGGCCAGGAATCTAACTCTGATTGCCTGGCTGAAAGTACGGTGTGTGAATCAGTGCACCACAACTCAAACCCCAAGAGATATAAACGAAGTAAATTTTGATGGGGTAAAATTTTCCCACTTAAGAACTCATTAACAACACACGCCTTTCAAAGCATTGAGTCTAGACATTCCACAGGGCTGGTGTGGATGCGTATGCGTGTGTACTTGCGTGTGTGCTCGTGTGCATGCGTGTGGGTGCGCAGTGGGCGCCACATACATGCTTGTGGTATACGAAAACCACATGTGTAGTTTGACGATACTTACAATATCACCCTGCTGTGCCCAATGCCAGCATGCTGACTTGAACCTGCCTATCTCTTGAATAAAAAATAAATTAAATATATGATGGACAACATATCAAGCAATGGCTATTTTTTTCATCGCCGAGAGATGAGGAAGAAGTGCCATTGCCAGGAGGATGCATGTATGTATGTACGTTGAACCTCTTTTGCACTCTCGTGGTCAACCGTTATCATTGGAGGTGCAGGAGAAGGACAACGAACTAAACACAAAAAGCAATTCTGAAGAAATGAGTTTACAATCTACGTTAAGAAGTGCATAGCTCCAGTGGTTACCTAATATGGGAAGGAAGAGCGTTCCAGACGACCGCAGAAGCGCATATGAAAGTGCGCGACGCAGTGACCGTCTTTGTTCGATGGCGAGCCAAAAGCTGCTGCGAGGGTCACCGGAGGTCACGTGATGGTTTATGCTCTCACCTATTATTATTTATTTAGTTTCCTTTGAGGGCAGTGCTATTGACGTTTGTTTTGTGTACGTCTGCACAAATGCAATTGCAGTATCACAAAACATACATCTCTTTTCAGCTTAATTAAACTCCTAGTTATTTGGATAAGTGACGTCTCAAAATAGAGAGGCCAGAGAGGTAGAGTGCATAAAAAGTTTGACACTGCACTTTGCACCGTGCGTCCGACATGTATGTGCTACGAAGAAGGTCCGTTATCAAAACGTGACCTATCATACACTTTTCCTTTCATTGCAATGTTTTTGATGAATGTCGTACGTTTTTTGTATATTTTCCCTGTGCATCACTGCCACCGCAATGTCACAAAAATAGAATTGTGATGCGGCTATGTCACTTTTTGCTGCATTTGTGTTTGCGAATATTACACTCTCTTATTTTGATTAATCAAGAATTTTCATTAGAGAGAGTGGTTATTGTAAGACATTGCGTTGCGTTGCGTTACCATTAACGTGATTTTCTTCTTGTTTGTTTCTTCAGCAAGGTTTTCCCGCATGGTCTTCCCGAAGAATATACCTTCATAGCAGTGTTTAAAGTTCAAAAGAGCTCCCAGGAAGATAACTGGATTCTGTGGCAAGTGGTTGATAAATTTGGCATATCACAGGTACGTTGCCTACAAGTATGAATCACTCGCACAACACAAAGCACATATTATACTGCTATCGACCATTATTGTGTCATTACATTTCAGCACAATAATACGTAATAACTGAGAATTGACATATTCACCATCTTCACGCCGAATGAGTTGTTAATTATTTGTGGTCATCACTTGATTCATGAATGCATTTTTGGTCTTGTTTGTAGTGTCTCGTTGGTACTGCCTACCTGCAGTAACCTGGTAGTCCAGTCAAACCAAACTGCAAAATAGAGGACACACAGATCCATAATTACCACTCCTAAAACTGAATAAAACAAACAGATTGTCTCCTTTATTGCAAGCATACAAGCTGAGGAAACAATCATAATGAATTTAGAAAATAATAACATATGTGGATATTCTTTGGGTCATTCGGTAAAGTCACGTAAAGACTTTACCGAAAGACCCAAAGAATATGAATTCCGGCAGTCACTAAAGATTGTAGTCAAGATTTAACAAATATGGAATTCACACTGCTGGGACGGGTTAAACCCAACAGGGTCTGTGACCCTTTAGAATCAGCCCTTCAGTTTAAATAACCCTCCACATTGCAGTTGCAAGGAGCCCTGTCCTGTTCATCTTTCTACCTCTCCCCTCCCTGCTGCCTCTCAAAGGGGAGTTGATGATAAGAAGTGCCATTGTGGTGAGATGTTAACTACCTCGCCGGGTTTTCAGGAGGTCGTGGCTTTGATCCTGACACTGACGCCTGTATTTTTGGAGTTTGCAGAAAGTTGTGGGTTTAATCCTGACCCTGATACCTGCTGTATATTTGGAGTTTGTATGTTCTCCCTGTGACCGCGTGGATTTTACTCGGGTTTTTCTCTCCACATTTAGAATCAACTTGCATCTAGAGTATTTGGCTACTATAAATTACCACGTGATATGCCACTTCTGAAAAAGAGCTATAGAGCTCAGTGAGCCTTACCTGGTAAAATAAAAAATAGTTTTCTCGTTTTTTTCGTCATTTCCCTTTATGTGTTCATTGTAAGCTCCATTGGCAGTTTTTTATATTCCTCCAGCATGATCAGGGCTCACCTGGCTGCAGGCATCTTTGGCACAAAGGAAACCCAGAGACCCGTCAGCCTTGGTGGTTAATGTTAGATAAATTACGGGGAAATTGGGTAATATGTTATGCCTATAGTCATATATAACATTAATAGCCAATAGCATTAAGGGGCTCTTTTTCACTTTGAAGCAAATTGAATTCTAAATTCATATTAAAAAAAGATTTACTGTGGTGGAGCATTCTATGTAAAAACATAAATAAATAAACTTCCATTCTATATCTCCATGTAAAAATACGTTCGTCATCCTGTCGCCCTTCTGGACTTAACATTTGCAATGTATCTGTTAATGTTATAGTGTATCTGTTTGTAGTGTAGTCAAGGTGGAACACTAGTCAGCTGATCAATAGCGTACATTACACAGAGGTTTTTATATTTTAGATACATTAATTAATGTTTGACTTCCGCACATCTTATTAGCACGGTGGGCTACGTACAGTGCGAAAGACGTTCAACATACATATATAAAAATGTGCTAAAGAATTTAGATGTTTGATATCCAGGGGGGGGACTAGATGTCTTGTGACCCCCATTTAATTCTCTAAAATGCATACCTGTCAACCCCTTATCGGTGCCTACCATATTACAGACCAATTCAGACCGTATTGGTCACCCCATGCCCTTATACATCTCACACGAGTGGGCTGAAGTAGTAAACTAATTGGCGCGTTGTTTACATGAACAAACCTTGACTGGCTGTGTCAGGTGGTGGAGGGTTACGAAACATTTATACTTACGCGATCTAACCCAAGAACCTTTATTATGAATAATATCGGTCGCGAAAGCCGACATGCAAAAGAAAAACAATGTTAGGGGTCAATTATTTGGCGGGTCACAAGACATCTGGACCAGCCTGTACAATACTTACCTGTTCTATAGGCAAGCCCAGCCATGCCCAGACAACTCACCAACCTTGTGAATGAAAATCCCTGCAATAAGCTGTTGGCCCTCCATCTTCTCACTCTTCAATCAAAATAATGCACTCATTAATTACAATACACAGATTATCTGGCTTGAACACAACAAATGCATTCCCCCATTTATGAGTGATGAGCCAAAAAAGCTATTTAAAACTATAATGATGCGTTGTGGAAAATGTTGGACTTCAAGCTTACTGTTTTAGCTCATTCTCTATTATGTACTGTTTGTGAATTATTTATCATTATGCAGTCATAGAGCCACTGGTAATACTTTCCCTTCCTCAACAGCGAACCCTCAGACAGGCTTGAGAATATATCACGAAGCAAACGTCAGAGTGCTTTCCCATGCTCAACTGGGCACTGGGCAGAACACATTGTCTTCAGTTGTCTCGAAACAGTTGCGTAAAGCTACACAACCACTGGTGACTTCCCAAAACAATTTGAGTTACGTTTTATTGACCCTAAATTAGAACTCATGACTCAGTCATTGTGAATCAGGCCCTCTGACCAGAGCACCACCAGGATCTGTCAGGACCAAATCCCCAGCCACCAACAATAGACAGCACGTGTGAAGGTGTCATAGATAATAATCAATGTGCTTCTTAAATCGAGAAATGGTATAATTAGGGGAGAGGAGGAAATTCCAAAGTGGAGCAGTGTGAATAAAGAGACGAAAAGATAAACTTTTTGACCTGCAGTGTGGTGGGTGAATATGGTATTAATGAGATGAAACAAACAGCTTGGTGGTAGACTCAGTGCTGAACTTGCAATGAATCAATACGATTGTTGCTACTGTTTCCGCAAGGTGTCCTTACGACTTGATGGCGAGGCGAAGACTTTGGAATTCTCAGCACTGGGCCGCCAGCGTGACCGCGTCGGAGCCGTCTTCAAAGGTCCTTTGGTGGGCCAGCTCTTTGACCAACGCTGGCATCGTCTGGAGCTGCACGTGGAGCCAACTCGGACCTCGCTGCACGTGGACTGCCAACCCGGCGTCACCCGGGCCACGGAGCCGAAGGAGGACATTGCCATGGATGGCTTGACGCTGCTTGGGAGCTCTGTTAACAGCGATGCGTCAGCCGAAGTGAGTGCAGGGCTGCCATACTGCATGTGCTACTACTACCGATGGTAACAACACCGCCAACACCGATGCCACTGAGAACATCAACATCACCAATACCACTGAGAACATCAACAGCAACAAGACTGACATCAGTAACACTGACAATAACACCATCATCATCACACAATATTCACACACTTTTGTAGAGAGAGAATGAACCAGAGGCATGCAATGAGCCGCACCAACAATTGCCAAAGCTCTGTGGTACTATATGTATTAAGCTGTTATCGGACAATTCATAAATGTTTACACGTGGGAGGAAATCTGAGCACCCATAGAAAAGTCACGTGTGTGAAGGGGGAACACTCTTTCCCATACAGATGGAGCAGGTGGAGTGCACTATTTTAATGTACTACCTTCTCCTAGCAAGCCAGGGTATGACACCTCAATGCACATTGGATGCGAGTATCACGACTTTTTTTTGTGATCCACCAGCCCTCGCTGCTTCTGCAGCACTGGATTACAGGCGTGTGCCACGAGCAATGCGAATCCGTTATGCTCAGAGTGGCCCCCCGAACAAAATGTGTTTGTGACTTTGATGGGACCAAGTCAGATATTCCATTGTCACTGTCATCAACAGCAAATCAAAACTCAGCTGTTGATGGATTAATGATGCATGGTAAATTTGTGATTTCCGTTCATGTTTGAACGAGAATGGATTTTTGTGCTGTGATATTTGTGCACAGGTTGACATCCTTAAACTCGCCATATACTGCGACTCCAGGCACGCCGAACTGGAGAGCTGCTGCGACATCCCGGGATTTCAGGTACGCACGTGACAGCATGTCCCATTCGCAAATGCCTCCACAATGCTCGGGGAACTTGCCTGTTACAACCTGTCTTAATAATGGACTTCCAACACTAATGAAAAGCCATCCCCACCAAAAAATAAAAAGTCAACGGGTCAAAGTGTCTTTTTTCGCTGCAATTAGCAAATGGGGCAGCACTCATCTGAATTAGTCGCCCTTGGGCAAAGGTGGGAATGTGTCTTCGCACAGGGCAACCACTGTTAACTTTCCACAAAGTGACACTCACTGTATGGACCAGGGCTTAATTTATTACTCGATGCTTTCCGGAACACTGCCAAGCTGGCTTGGAGTAGGGATTATCAGGTTAAGGCCATACCACTATTTGCACGAGGTATGCCCAACCATAATATTGTAATCTTATATTATAGTGCCGTATGTTCCTGTAATCCTATGACCAGGTTTATACGATTGAATGTAGCATCATGAGGACAATGTAAAGGCGAGATAGATGTGCCATGTCAAAATAACTCCCAGTACAGCTCTGGTAGAAATTAAGCACCGGTATCGACCGTGGAGGAATGATGGGCTGAGTGGGCCCTCCCTGGGATTTAAACTCACAACCGTCCATTTGCGAGTCAAATACTCTCCCTCCAGTGCCACATTTGCCGCATAAACTGAACTAAAATAAATTGGCTACTTTATCATAACTTCCAAGCGTAGAATTAAATAAGTATTAATTAAATGATGGATGGAGGCTGGTGTCTATAAAATAACCAACATTGCCTGGAACAATGATCTGATCTGATGCTTTTTTTATTGGCAGCGCTGGCATGGGTTTGGGCAGTAATGCATTTCAAATGAGTTGGCTCATCTCTTTTGTGCATCTCAGAAGAACATTTTAAATAAAAGTGGAATACAATATTGACCACAAGATTTGTGGCCTTAGACCACCAGGAATCATTGATGGAATATTAATATAATCGTGTTGCTAGCTGACCTAACTTTAATGCGTTCTGTAGGTGTAATACTGCCGAGTACGCATACAAAGACAAATATCCCGCATATAGCCTTAACATACCGTTACATGTACACACCCACACACACAGCAAATACTAATTAACTAAACATGCCGCTTCAGCAAAGTATATCAATGCAGTACACATGTTGTGATGTACGTTATCCAGAGGTCAATATTGACCTTGACCTTCTTGGTTTAAAGAATGATTATCATATCCTTTCAGAAAATACAATATTTGTATTATTTGCACATTACATACATACATACGTACCCACATACAGCCATGATTACACATTGGGTATGGAAGTCCTCTACTGATCAAGGAGGTTTTCCTGTTACATGAACATATATGAGGCAATTATTTCCACATGTTTGATCAGCGAATGTATGAACGTATAAACGCCCGTGATAGCGGTTATAATTTGTATAAAGCAGAAGCAGGGTATTTCTCGGTGCCTACTTTACACAGCAATGACATTAATGCTTCCTCCCCGTCTCTATTCTGCAAGTGTTACTCCGCACAGCAAGATTCGAACTCTGCTTACCTAATGGATCAAGCCGAGGGAGGCTCTAAGTTTGACCTGCAACGGAAGGACACTAATTGTAGCTGTCCGCAAGGACATCACAGCTACCGGGTGAGTCATTGACTTGTCACCTGTCTTCCTCAGGCAATGCACATGCTACATTTCTGGTCTTCAAGAATAACGGCCTCCCATTCTATTGCCAGCTGCCCATTTATGGAAATATGTGGAGGTTAAGTTGCTACACGAGACGCTTCCACCTGTTTATTGGTTGTGACATAAAATAGCGATGCTGTCCACTTATTTGCTTTTTTGTTATCCACACGAGGCATTGCTAATTTATTTAATTTTTCCTCAAATGACATCCAGGATAAATTGTGCCTATGACTCGTAAGTTATGATCATTTTTTTTTTACATTTCATTGCAACCACTGTTCATCGAATAAGCCACCATCAAATGCATATTGCCTTTATCACCAACAATTGACAGGAATTTTGCTATAATGTTTCTGTGACCAAAAATGTACCTAGATTTTTTTTTCCATTCAAATTTGTGTGCGTTTGGATGCCGTGAGTGAGATGATAATCAGCAAAGGTTAGGCATAATGACATCTGCAAGAGAGCCAACCTCAGCTCAGTGACATACCAACTTTGTAAAGGACAACTGGATGAGATTTGCAGTGCTCATTGAAAGAAGGCCATTCAGCAACGTTATTTTATTAAATATAGATGTTTTCCCCTTTGCATTACCCATGGTGAACGAATCATACGAGTAAGCTACACAGCCAACAATGCAGTAGGTTTTGACATGCGGCCCCAAAAAGTGCCATTTGGCCCCTGTGGGATATTGTTGTCAATAAAACTTCAATACTTGACTTAAAATATGGAAAGGACTTGCACGTAATGAGCGACTTCCAATTTTTGTACGCATTTTTTTTTGTTTAACCAGGCATCAGTAATAACTTGGCATACGCTATCCCGTCACTGTGTATTCAACCCCTCTTATACATCTCAGTTACCAAGGCTTGGACCGAGAATGATAGAGGTGTTGACCATTTACCTGATGTGTGTCTTAACCCATTGATTAAGCCCCCTCTTCAGACCGAACATGCTGTAGGATAGGAATGACTACACAGCAAAGCCATTTGGGGGTTGGGGCCGTCCATAAATGACGTCACACACCTGGGGGGGGGGGTCAGACATTTGTGACGATGTGTGATGGGGGGGGGGGGGTTGAGAAATGTGACGTCACATCAAAATGTGCAACTTTAAATAAATATAGACAACACGTTCTACTTAATTAAATACATTTTTGTTATCAATGTTTTCTCCTACAACATCAGTGCCACATTAAATACGCACTACAATGACAATAGTTTAAAGCGATTTGAAGCATGTTTTTTTTTGGGGGGGGGGGGCAGAGCTTTGTGACGTTATATTTGAGGGGGGGTCTGACTTTTTGTGACGTCGTGTGACGAAGGGGGGGGGGGTCAAAATTCGTCCAAAATCGCGTGACGTCATTTATGGACGGCCCCTTTCCCTGTAATAGCTTTTGTGTGGGTGACCCTTTTCGCCACATTGCAGCGAGGTGTAGAGCACCAACATTCGGTGTTAAAATACCACGTGAGAATTTATAGGAGACTAGTTTCTTGAGCTGAGCGCTAAAGTGATTTTCCTGCTTGGAAGTGTTTGGAATGCCATGCACAGCTTAAGCTATAAATGTTGGACGGTTCTTGGCTATCACCATATACAAGCCCATTGGCTTTGCAGTGTTAACTTGTCTGAGGTTGTTCGATTTGCTTGGGCAGTTGCCAAAGAGGTCTTCGATTGGATCCCAGGGCTTCCCAAGGGTGGATCATACCTGTTTTAGGGCAGGAGTGTTGGTTGGCTAAGGCTGCCCCGAGCAGTTTGGCAGCTGGTATTCCTCGGACTCGCTAGTGTATGTGCACACGAAACATTCATATACAAAGATCCCCTGTCTCGCCTTTGACAGACTGTTAAGCCAAGTCCAATTAGGGAGCACCGATTAACCCGTTTCGAGACGTCTGCAAGTTGAAGGTTTGGGTCCCATTCACTGCCGAATCTCGGAAAGCAGCTCAGCGTTAATTTTATTCAGAGAGGCATAGCGCCATTGTTTTAAAATACATTGTAATCACCGCGGAGAACTGTAGCAACTCGACCGCACTCTATGATACCTGGCGCCAAACTGTACCACCCATTTAAGGCTGAGTCTGAGTTCGCTGATGTTGGCAATGTGGAGGAATCAATGTGCTAACCAACGCACTTTTTAACACAAGACAACAATCCCAGTATAGCCTTTAAAAGACTGTTGGGCCAAGCACTGTCATTTGTGAAGGCCCACACACGCACAAAAGCGGGTGGGTGGCCAGTACCACGTCCAGTGCTGATGTTTACTACAAAGTGTGCCAGGTACCAATTTTAATACTCGGTTGACCTAGGGGAGGCCCAGGACCGGGCCAGATATAAACGTCACCAGTGTTGGTCATGAGCGGGAATCGAACACGGGTCGCATGGATCATAGCGCAGAGTGCTAACTACTGCACTACTGCTCCAAAAAAAAATATCCCCCGTATAACCTGAACAGACTGTTGGGGCAAGTGTTGGTAGCGAGCAACTATGAAGGCCGGCACAGCACACGGAGGGGATGGGTGGCCAGCACCACGCCAGACCGCCTATGTCTCCCTAGTGGCGATGTTTGCACACCACACCAGGAACTCATTTGAGGCTGAGTCGGCTTCGGGGAGGTCCAGGACCGGCCCAGATAAAATCGTCACTGGGTATTGGCTGTGAGCAGGAATCGAATTCGGGTCGCCGGGTTCGTAGCGCAGCGCGCTAACCACTACACCACCGCTCCCCCCACACACACGCGCCTGACACCAGCATCCCAATCAAAATCAATACAAAGTGGAAGAACATCACTCTTTTTTATGTCCACATACACAAATGTAATGTTGCTATTTAACATAAGCTGCAGGTAGGGAAAACCAAAAAAAATATCAAAGGAATAATGGAACCGTAAGCTCACTCAGTGTCAAAAGTGTTCGGGTCTTTGCTCCCACCGACGCCAGCATGCATTATTTTAAAATCATCCAATGACTGAAAAGCAGAGATCCTCAATGCGGCTGGACGATTGATTGCCTGCCACTCCCGGGCAATGCCGTCACGGTGTGCCCCATTAGCCTGAGCACCAAAGCTTCCCTCTTCCCCCTCTACGCAGGCCCACATCTTCTCCCCCACTACCCACATCCACTCACCCCAACCACCCACATCCACTCGCCCACTCCTTCTCTCCTCCTTCACCCGTCATCCCCAGCACACTCGAAGCCGCATTTACGCCCGCACAAACACACGCGCGCACAAACACACGCGCGCACAAACACACGCGCGCACACGCGCGCACGTGCAACGTTTCAGAACATGTGCACGGAAAACTCCGGGCAGGCGAAATTAGCCAACCTGGAATCCCGTTTGCCACAGCGATCATAAAGCGGCAATTTCACGTTATTGGCCCGGTTGCTTGGCGATGGTCCTTACCAGCACATTACTGATGGCAGTAACGGTCGTTGCCAAGCAATGCCGGATTACCACTTCGCTCCGGTCTGAACGATGGAGATCCCGTTGTCTTGAGAATTTATGATCTTCCACGTGACATAAATGTCGCTACACTTGCAAGTGGGACTGCTTGACTGCATGCCAATCAATACTTCAAGTCCCTTATCTAGAGGATTGTATCGCTTCACAACGCGCTAGAGTCCATTCATGGGCGTTGTGCCGTACCGCTAAAGGTAAACGCTATGAACGAAAAGCACAAACGTCGTGAAAGATGCATTTGTAATATCAACTCTAACGTGTGCTACACTCCTGCAGCAATGTGTTAGGTAGCTGTTTTATAATTCTCCATCACACACGTTCACCGCACTGCGTCTCAATTGATCACCTGTGCGGTTTAAACCGCAAACTGATCATGTGCAGGAATCGCTCGGTGTTACACACAGCCTGCGGGGAACAATGCCTGATTAGTGGCAGTAATAAAAGACATAACAGGGCCCACTTGGCCCCAGAGGCACTCGGGGAGAACTGGTAACGCGTGTGTGTGCGCGTGCCTGCTGAGTCATCAGTTACAAGTCATGCGCTTTCCATTCTCCATCTCACCGTTGTAACCTGCCTTTATCTTGTAAAATGCATAGCCGATGCTGCAAAAAGCTGTGAGATGTGGTATGCATACACGCGACCATTGCCGTGGAATACTTTTTGTAATCGAAGTGCTGTAAGGTACTGGAGCTTACACGCACAGCATTTGAACAAATCGGTGTTGGCTGATTCTAAGAGAAGCATTAGGTGGTGTTCTTCTTCAGAGCCAGTGGGTCGAAACTACACATTTCTATGGTTGTGACCAGTCTCTCCATAGAACATTTGTTGACCTCCCAACAATGCATTGCTAGCCTGACGATATTAATCAGGTGACAGCAGAATGATGACGGCTTGTCAGAATTTCAGAATATGTATTTATACTGGACGAATCCGATGAGCTGTAAAGCTCTTTTTCACGATGTCCATTAGGGGCGGGCAAGAACGTTACAACAAACAAAAAAAAAACATGATAGGAGTGTAACGGACACGAAAGGTAAACAGATCATCCAAAAACATGCATGTGCAACTAAACCATCCACATGCTACGAGGCAAAGCGCAGTGAGGTATCATATTGTTTTGTTTCAGAAGCGACCTCCTGAATTGGTTTGAAGTCGTTTTGCCGACTTCCGGCGCTGGCTGGATATTCCCTAAAAGCGATTGGTTCCAAATGCACGTGAAGGTTTTTTTGTTTGTTAAACCCATATTCGCTGGGCAGAGTGGGCAGAGCCGCCCCTCCCCCCATTACGCACAAAAGATCCCACCGGCCAGGCAATAGCTGGGGGGGGGAGGGTGCCGATGGGAATTGGGGTCGTGTGCGCGCCGACGCCAGCACGCTCACCCTGCTGACAGACTGCCGTGACGGATCAGGCATCACCCGTCTCGCACACGAGCACGACAAAGATCACCCCCCCCCAACCCCCCTCCACGTACAGCCCAAACAGACTGTCGGGGCAAGTGCTGT